CAGAGAAGGAAAAGTGTCATGGTAGGAATTTGATTCAAGACTTCAAAAGTAAGAACTACCAGTTTGAATTGTGGCTGGAAAGTAACTAGCACCATTGGTCTTCTCATAATAATAGAAGGCAGTGTGTGTCTGTGGGCTTGCCTACACTGGGGAAAAATGCCAAACTTAATCCTGAAGCTGGGGCTGGCAGTCCTCACAATGTATGGATACTGGGGAGGTACTGCATTTTCTGGCCCTTTTCTGGACCACACTTTGCACTGAACTAAGCAAAGTTGGGGGAAAGCCCATTGTTTCCCAGAAACCCCTTAGTGACCTCAGGTTCTTTTGATGTGTGCACAGCTGTTTTGGGTCCGATTCAGCTGCACCATCCCCTTTCCCCATGCTGAGCATTGCAGGGAAAGGGAATGGTTTGTTCTCACAGCTGACACCACCGCTTCCTTGCAGGCAAGAGCTCTATGTAAAATCAGGCCAGTGCATCACCACTTCCACTGAAGACAAAAAGGGTGATCTAGACATGTGATCAACAAGGAGTTTCATGGCCAAGCAGGGATTGAAATGCTGTTCTCCAGCAACACTCAAAAACCACGACATCAGGCTGGCTCTATAAACCCATTATCCCCCGTTATTTATATAAAGTAGGCCCTTGGTATCCACTGAGGTTTGGTTCCAGGACCCCATGTGCATAAAAAAATCCATGGATGCTTCAAGTCCTGTTAAATACAATGGCATAATAAAATTATAGAAAATAGCAAAATCAAGCTTTGCTTTCTGGAATTTATATATTTCAATAATTTTCAAGCTGTGGATGGTTGAATATGTGGATATGCAAAGCCAACTTTGTTTTATGGAATTTCCTCCCTATATATTGAATGATCCCAGGCCAATGTACAATAAAGTCAATTTCAATATTTGTTTTAAAAAAATTAACAGTAAGAATAATTTAAACAGACTGAAAGCTTATTAAACTGATGTACAGGCAAAAACAAGACTGTTTAAAATCAGCTTGACCATTTCAAATCATGTATCATTTGAGATGTGGTGCTGGAGAAGAGTGCTGAGGATCCTATGCACAGCCAAAAGGACAAACAAGTGGGTCTTGGAGCAGATCAAACTGGAAACCTCCCTGGAAGCCAAGATGACCAAACTAAGACTGTTGTACTTTGGACACATCATGAGAAGAGAGGACTCATTGGAAAAGACATTAATGCTGGGAAAGGTGGAGGGAAGTAGGAAGAGAGGAAGACCACATGCCAGATGGATGGACTATTAAGGAGGTCACGGGTATTAAGGAATTAAGCAGAGCAGTGGAGGACAGGGGGTCTTGGAGATGTCTCATCCATAGGGTCGGCATGAGTCAAGATCGAGGGCAGTTAACAAAATCTGCAGTTTTGGGTTAAATGAAAGGCTTAAGTAAGCAAGCCAGTTTTTACTTTATGTCAGAATGACATTAGCAGTGGTGATATGTCCCCAAGTTGGGAGTATCCCCACCAATCCTCCCATAGCATAATGGCTCCATTGGTGGGACACAGAGGACAGTCCCTCCAGGAAAGGTGCTCCTCAGGTATTGAGAACCCAACCTACTTGAGAGTTTAAATACAATCATTAGCACTCCAAGTTTGAACTGGAAATGCATTGGCAGCTTGTGCAAAACAAATTAAAGTGGTATTATATGGTTCTTACATTGTGTTAGACTTTAATAGCTAATGGTTATTTCCATGCTAGGAAGAGCTTCAGTTTGCTGATTTTTGCCCAGCCAGGGCACAAGAGAGGTGTTTTCCCCACTCCTTGAATGTATTTCAAAAATAACATATACAGAATAAACAGAACTTCACCTATTCTGCACAGTTTATCTGAGAGTCCTCTAGTGTGGAAAATGGGCATCTCCTTTTGTAAAAATACAGTACAAGCAGAATATTATTCATTCATGGCCTAATGTGCTCTGAAAAAAGATGAACAAAAACCACAAATTAAAAGGAGCAAACCTGTATAACCCATTCAGTTATTTTCTACCATTTTTGTATTTTGAGGTAATACTGGGACTAACTGCAATGCACAAAACAAGGACTACAGGTTATGATCATTACCCACCCCCATAGATACACCATTTGAAATGTCTTTTTGTTTCTTGGCCAGTGAAAGTGACTTTCCACCTAAATATGTCCAGCATATTTTCAAGATTGACCGTGACAGTTGCTGGTTTCCTGTTTTTCAAAAATATGCCAAATTAAATACACACATACATTCATATAGTCAGGTGTACATCACTTTTTGACTGCCAAGATGCTCATTTCTCTCTTAGAAATCAAAATTAATAAAGCTCAAGGAAATGTTAATGTGAAGTTGTCTTAAACTGTCCTGAGGCAGAAAAGGGGGTCATTCCTTATTAGGTTCAAACCCCCGTGTTATGATTTGTATTAATCTTTCCCTTTACGAGTCATTAATAATTACTCATTAATCTCTTCCTTAGGCTCTGACAGTCTTCTTTTGTTTTTCCAAGAACAACTGCACCAATTTGCAATGGCAATGCATTCATTTGAAAATGGAGTATACAATTGTTTTGATTTTCCTTCCCCAGTTCACTTCCTAATAATTTCATTTTAATATCAGAGGGAAATAGATTTTATTTCTTTTCTGAGCTCATCATGATTTTTACAAATATAACACTTTGAAATGGGATTTGTTTCAATTGTTTGTGGAGTTGCCAGTACACATGATATATAACATCAAGGCTGTGAACATAAGAACATTTATTTATTATATGGTTGATCAGAAATATTTTGGAGTCAATTTTTTGTAGGGTTAAGCTATGCTTGTAAGAGAACAAGATGCCTATTAACTTTCTGTCACGACTCTTTTCAGAACAGCCTTCTATGTGTTCATTGTTTTATTTCAGTAATATAAGGCTTCCTGTAATAGGGATGCATTGATCTTGAATCTTTAGATACAAACACACATTTATTTATTGTTTGATCCAGCATAGTGTAGTGGTTTGAGCACTGGCTCTGGAGACCAGGGTGAGACTCTCTGCTCGGACATGGAAAGGTGACCTTGGGCAAATCACTTTCTCTCAGCCTTTGAGGAAAGCAAAGGCAAACCCCTTCTGAACAAATCTTGCCTAAAGCAATCCCATGATAGATTTACCTTAGATTCATCATAAGTTGGAAACAATTTGAAGGCACCCAACAAACAATAAAGCAACCTTATACAGTGGACTATGTCAGGGATGGAAAGTCCCACTGAACCTTGAGGGAGTTATTTCTGGATAAATAGTTCTTGGATGGGAGGCTGCCAACAAACACCAGGTGTTGTGGGCTATATTTCAGAGGAAAGAGCTGGCAAAGGCACCTTTTGAGTATTTTCCACCTGTGGAAAAAAATCATGAGGTCACCATAAGTCAACAGGCAACTTGAAGGCATGCACACACAAAAGTAATCCATTCCAGTCACTACAGTTTCAATGTGGGTTATTTACACAGAATGGCTGTACCCCAATACAGCTGAAGTCAGCACTAAGACATCCACACTAACAATGCTGAGACCACCTTTTTGGAAGGGAGGGAGGACAAGGGCATGTGATAGACTGTATCTACCCCATGTACTAGGAACTGGCACCATCTTTTTGCCCAGTGGCTATAACTTTCTTTCCTGGAAACGTGCCAGGGATCAGCAACCAAAGGCTCATGGATGGGCACCAGTCCAGGGACCATCTCTTTTCAGTAGCTCTGGGTTAGCTGGAAAAGAGAAATGCTATGGGGACCATAATGCATGCTGTTGTTGTTGTGAGCTTTCAAGTCATTCCAGCTTACGACAACTCTAAGGCGAACCTATCATGGGGTTACATGTCCACAAATTTTCACTTAACAGAGCAAACAGCTTCAGATGGTCCGGATTCCCATTGTTTCCTGCTCAATTGCTCTTGACCAAAATATATTTTAAAAATCAAGAGATCCTCTCTCACTTCTCCCTTGTCACATCCCATTTGTCTCAAAATTTTATGCAACAAACCAGGTTTTGTTTTGGTTTTAGCAAAAGGGAGGAGATGCCAGGACTCCATTCTCTGGAAGTAGTACCTACTGGTCTGGAAGTCTTCCAAACACCCCAGAAGATGGCCACGGACTCTCACCCTGTTTATTCAGTGGAGTGGTATGGAGATGCACGCTTTAACATGTTCAGGAGCCATATACGTTCATCTTAATTTTAGGGCATAAGCTCCGGCTGTGTGGGAGAGAGGGCTGCCACACTGAAAACTGAAGCCAGGCACAAATTAGGGTCTGGATGAATCCCAGGTATTGTAGGAAAATATTTCAGAGAATTGGCAAAACCACCTCTGAGTATCCCTTGATAGAAAGAAAACAATCTTTTGAAATTTATAGGGTTACCATAAGTCAGCAGTTGACTTGAAGACACAGACACACAGTACTACAGTAGTGGGACCCAAATGCCCTAAAGGCACCAGATCCATTCTGATCTTTGGAACTCAGCAGGCTCAGCCCTGGTTAATACTTGGATGGGAGACCACCAACAAATACCAGGCGCTGTAGGCTATATTTCAGAGGAAGGAACAAGTAAAACCACCTCTGAGTATTCCTGGCCTAAG